TTGTACACTATCGGATCTGTGATCTGTAGTATCTTTCTTGATATAGATGTTTCGTTAAATTTACCATAAAAATTTATTATTTGTCTTTTTGTTATACATTATTTATTTACCAAAAGCCGTACTGTGGTACAGGTGCGGTATGGCGAGAGTCGTTATTTAGTTTTCCAAAAATTATTAATTTCATTAATAATTTTTATCCGAGCTGTGGGAAAGTGTGACAAGTCGTTCGCTCAGTCCATAGTTTTCTCACCACAAATGGGGATTTGTTTATGTGTATAGAGGAATAATCATAAATAAAATCTTAACTAGCAAGATAGGGAATTAATACAAACTTAAATAATAAATATAAAAGCTATATAAATAATAAAATCCATGCAAATAATTAACTAGGTATCATGCAAAATTAATCTAGGAGGCAAAAGACGGCTAACGACTAAATAAAAAAAACACAACACACTGTGAAGGTTTTGTATGCAGCCTCAACAACACGACACACCCACAATACACCCCTAACCGCTGGTATTTTTGGTAGCAGTACTGCCTGATGGGTGGATGCTACCTACAACAACCACAGAAAAAGGCCTATTCGCCCGTTCCTGAGGATTGCAAATATATTGGCTCGGTCACTTGCTTGAGCACCAGGAAAGCACCCATACGTTAGCTCACGAAGAAAAAGTTGGTGAAGGAATTTATTCTCCATAAAGCGGTAAAAAGGTTCTACGAAACCACCAGAGTCGTCACTGCCATACAAAAAACGGTAAGCTGACATAAGTGGACGAAGCGAACCTGCGATCCGTACAATCAGCGTAATCGACGCACACGGTGGAATCGGGGCAGTCGGCACGATTGTCACGAACGATCATCACCAGATATCGGGGAGGCCAGATCGGCGCAATCGGGGCAATCGGCACGATTGGCGCGAACGGCAAGGAAGGAGGCCAAGGATACAACTAGGCACGGAGACATCGTGCAATCCGTTGCGGAACCAATCAGCGAGCGTTCATCGACGGGCCCGACACTGACACCACACACAAAAAGAAACCGTAAGTAGTTACATATAGGAAGAGATAGGGCTGTTAGGGACCGTTAGGTCAAAATTTCAATAAATCCCTGTCAGTAATCAAATTAATTGTCTTGTGGTTTTTCCTCTAATTTCGCAAACCTCGGCGGAAAGTAGCCAACCCAGAGTGTGGTTAGAGTCACTTGTGGGCTGAGCGGGCGTAACAAAAGGGTTTGTAACACGTTGTAGTACCGTACAAGCAAGAGGGGGAAGTCGTTCGTGATTCAATGGAACCGTCACCTGAAGAGAGGCCGATGTCACGTGAGAATACTCCGATTGCTGATGATGCAGACGTTTTGGAGGTGGATGATACCGGAGCGCTCCCTTCGCAACTAGAACAACTCGAGTCCGAAGGACAAGCGATGTTGAGGCGCAGTGGACGGGAGCGCAAGCTCCCCGGTAAGTTGTTAAATTTCTTCACCGGTTACAGAGCAACTTCTGCTGGCTCGTATTCCACAGATGCTCCTCAATGCTACAGTGACATCGAAGCCCGCTGCGATCGTATGAAATGGCTGGAGGCTGTTGATGACGAATTGCGATCCATGAAGGTGAACGGTGTGTGGAAGATGACGCCCTGCCCACGTGGCGTGAAACCTCTCAAATCCAAGTGGATATTCCGTGTGAAGGAAGACGAAGATGGCCAGGCCGCTCGATATAAAGCCCGACTAGTAGCAAAGGGCTACCTGCAGCGTTGTGGAGTTGACTTCACCGGTGGCGAAGTTACCAACCATCCGGACTGTGCTAGCTGTAGGCGTCCACAACCAGTTCCATTTCCATCAGATGGACGTTAAAACTGCCTTCTTGCATGGAGATTTGAAGGAGGATATCTATATGGATATTCCTGAAGGCGTCCAGGCTCCAGAAAATATGACCTGCAAGTTGCTGAAATCGTTGTATGGATGATTGCTTCAATACGATGCTGGAATGAAAAATTCAACAGTGAACTAGTCAAGATGGGTTTCAAGCGGTCCCGCCATGACTACTGCCTATACAAACGATGCGAAGAAGGAGACAAGCTGTACGTTGTACTCTATGTGGACGATTTGCTAATCGCAGGGAGGGAATTGGAATCCATCGCACGTATGAAAGAGAAGCTTTCGACTTTGTTCAGCATGACTGACTGTGGAGAAGCACGCCACTTTCTGCGAATGAAGATAGCGTACGATTGGCAAACAGAAATTCTTCAACTTTCGCAAGAGGCGCACATGGCAAGAGTCTTGGAGCGTTTTGGACTGGCTGAATGCAATCCAGCTAAGTCACCAATGGAGAAGGGACTGCAATTGCAATGAGAAGGGACGCCAACTGAAGAACCCTACAGGGAGCTACTAGGCAGTATAATGTATATTATGCTGTGCGTTCGGCCGGACATCTGTTTTCCATTAGGGTATCTGGGGCGCTACCAACAAAAACCAACAGAATCACACTGGCAGTGCTTGAAGCGAATCTTTCGTTACCTGAAGGGAAGTGCCAATGCTGTATTGAAGTTCGAACGCAATGACGACCGTCCGCTCGTTGGATTTGCTGATGCTGCCTGGGCGGCCGACAATGAAGATCGAAAATCAGTCACGGGATACGTCTTTAAGGTTTTTGGATCAACGGTATCATGGTGCAGCAAGAAGCAAACTACAGTTGCTATTTCGTCAAGTGAATCCGAGTATGTAGCTCTGAGCGCCGCTACTGCAGAATCCCTGTGGTTATCTGGAGTACTTGAAGATATGAAGGCCAAGGATCCGAAAACACCTGTCACCATATTCGATGACAACAGAGGCTGTATTGGAATGGCGAATAACTTGGAGACGAAACGAAGCAAACACATTGATGTTAAGAACCATTTCATCAGATCATATTGCCAAAGGACGCATTCAAGTGGAATCTATTGGTACTCGCGAACCAGCAGCTGACATATTCACCAAGCCATGGGACTCTGGACGCTTTCAAGAACTACGGATGAGTCTAGGGTTACACGATTGAGAGGGGATGATATTGAAAGAACCTGGAAGCCACACAGTTCGAAAAGTAGTGTAAATTTCTGTTCAATATGATGCACATAAATGGAACGTCATATATCATATAAGTTTACATTATATATCATGTAAAGTTCTGGCACATTTCATGCAATGTAGCAAATATTGTATACAAAAGCCCATCTTTGTAAACAACATTGTTTACAAGTTGCTCGGTTGCGTGAAATTAAATTTAAGTTTACATGAATGAATGTTTACATCACAATTAAAATTCAGAATTTTTATCTGTGAAGAAGCAATCGTTTAATACCATCTCAGTAGTCCTGCTTATTTGATTTTTCATTTTTCTGTTCCATTATCAAACTGTCCTTCAAATAAACCACACGTTAATTGGAAGAGCTCTGCTTTCACTCATAAAAAATACGAAGATTTTGTTTGTTTCGATTTCTACTGTACGTTATGAGGTTACATTTTTTTATTATTTATGTTCAATAAACTTTTACTACACAATCTGTAAAAAACATGTATTTCATTCTAAAACACATTCATTTCGTTATCGCTTCATATTTCTAAAAAAAGTTTCATGTCACCAGCGTATATAAGAACTCTAATAGTTTTTTTTTAATAAGAGAGACGGCATTAATGTACAAAATAAAAAGAAGGGTGTTTTCTCGTTGAATCTTACGATTTGCTGGCGATCAACTAAATAAGACTTAATCAAGGGGAGGAGCTTCATCAAAATTCCCATTTTTTCTAATTTAAAAATCAGCATTGGGATATCAATTCTGTCAAATGCTTTGTATGTATGCTAATAAATTCAATTTTACTTTGGTTGTCATATATTCGTTGACTTCCATTCTAAAGAATCTAAAATATTCTTGATCAGTATTTCTCATAATAAAGTTTTCTTTTTTAACTTAATTTTACCAAGCCCCACTGAAGCCACGTTTTGAGTGAAATTAACTCAATTTTGGGAACTTTTTTCTCTAGTGGTACCACTATTTTTGAAATTCATCAAGAAATAGCTAAGCTATGTCATTGCAAACTTGCCGATACACGTTTTTCGAAGGCTTCGTAGTCAGCGTAAGGTTTTTACCCACCCTGTTCGGAGTGATAATTAAAATTCTGTTATTATATCTAGCATTGTTTTTACACTTTAATTTGTTTTTCAGGTGGTTCAAAATAGAGTGATATTAAGTCGGGTGGCCACGGAGAACATTACCAAAAACACATTGCCCTCACACTGTTAATTAAGTTCCTCTGCAAGTATGGCGTATGAAATTAAGATGGCCGACAAGTTTGACGACGTTGTGTTGATTGACAATTCAAACAAGGAGATCCACTTACAAATCAAGAAGACTGGCAACTCTGCCAAAAATCAGGAGACAGTAACGGCAACGCCTCTTCTGAGCAAAAGTGGAACCTGTGTATGATGGTGTGTGTTAATTCACGAGTGCATTCATACACATACACGATTAGAAAAAAGTACCCAAAATTAAGTTCTTTTCATTCATCTCGGCACTATAGTGCAGGAACCTAAAAATAGGTAAAGCGGGTCAAAGTAATTTTCATTTACTTGTGTCCAGTTCGTATGGAATTTTCCACTGGCTTTTCTAGATTCCTCGAAGTAGACCGGGAACAAGAAAAAACACCAGGTAGATCATTCAAGGCAAATATATATACTTGGACCTGCAATTACCTGTGCAATGCGCAGGTGCGCATCGAGCAAGTTCTCCCATAATGGGTTGCTCTACCTGTCTAGTTGTTTGATGTAGGTAGTGACGAAGAAAGTAAGGCGATTCGTGCTACGGAACGCACGACTTCTTTAGATGAGGCTGTGCGGAGAGTCACCACTCGGACGACGCCATCTTTCCAGGATGAAGCTTCACGATTTTCCAAAGCGGCCAGTTTGCTGGTGGAACGTTGTCTTCCTTGATGATGACGATGACACCGACATCAATGGTGACAGGTGGATTTCAACCCTTGGATGCACGGGATTGTAACTGTTGTAAGTATTCCGGATACCAACGGGACCAGATTTGCTGCACACGCTTCTGGGTCAATTCCCAGTGATTCAAGCGATTATCCGATGTCTCCTTCCAATTCAAATCAGGAACCGCTTGAAGATTACTTCCAAGTAGGAAGTTTCCTGGAGTCAAGACGTCAAGGTCGGTGGGGTCCTCCGGAATTGGTGTGAGGGGTCGAGAGTTAAAACATATCTCGACTTGCGCCAATAAGGTCAGAAGATCTTCATAAGCTATATTGACATTACCGATCGCCTTCAGAAGGTGTGTCTTCGCCGATTTGACTGCAGCCTTCCAGAGACCTCCGAAGTGTGGTGCCCGGGGCGGAATGAACTTCCACGAGATTTCGTTGGATGAACACCAGTCGAAAATTTGTTCACGATCGGAAGTTCCGACCTTCAGCATGCGGTAGATCCTGTTAAGGGCATGCGAAGCACCTTTGAAGGTAGTTGCATTGTCGGAATGGAGTTCGACGACCTTTCCTCGACGGGCGACTAGGCGACGGAGTGAACCTAGAAAAGCAGTGGTTGTTAAGTCGCTAACCAGTTCCATATGGACAGCCCTGGTTGAGAAGCAGACGAAAATTGCCACGTACACTTTGGTGGGGCCATGCTTTTGAATTGCAGACTTTACGTAGAATGGTCCACAATAATCGACACCGCACACGGAAAACGGACGCGTCGGTGAAACTCGCGATACCGGCAGATCGGCTGTGCTCTGCTGGACTAGAGTGGGCTTGGATCGGAAACAATTGTGGCATTGGTGGTAAACGGACTTGACAAGATTACTACCGCCGAGGATCCAGAACATCTGGCGAAGAGTGGCTAACAGGAGTTGTTGACCTGCGTGCAGTAGTGTTACGTGGTAACTGCTAGCCAGCAGAGCAGCTAGCGGATGTTTGGCGGACAACGCGATTGGATATTTGATCACGTCGGACAGCGCGGCTTACGTAGACGACCACCAACGCGGAGAGTACCGTCTTCATCTACGAACGGTGTTAACCATTTCAGTGCTGATGACTTGGCGACACGGTCACCGTTTGAGAGATCTGACAGCTCCTCAGTGAAACTATCGCGCTGTGCTAAACGGCAGAGTAGTTGTTCGGCGTATTGTAGCTTGGCAGTGTTCAGTGGTAGAACGGAAGATGATTTATCTCGGACGTTCATGTTCAACGTAAGAGAATCCGACCCGGAACGACGCAGCTGTGCGCGATCCTGCAATCGCTGCAGATAGCGACCGCAGAATGCTACTACTCGTTGTAGTTTTCTGTAACGAGAGTAACGTGAAAACAAATCCTCGCAGAAGTTGGTTTGTGCAGTGGCCATTGCCACGATCGGAACTTTGCGCCCTTCTTCAGATGCCGTGGAGGAACATTCTTGATCGATGATGGTCTTTGGCCAGCGATCAAAAGTGAGCCCGAGCCAAGACGGACCATTCCTCCAACGAGATGAATTCAGGATATCCGACGGATTTAAGCCACGCAAAATGTCATCTGCGGGATTCCCGCTGCGTTAGGCGGTCAGCCAATAGTTTCTCCTCTTTAGCAGGCATCGCGAAAGAAAACGAACGGAAACGGTAGTTTAATCGAAACGAAAAATCCTTCCCGACGCGAACTAACCGTTTCTACGCGGAACCGACACGGCGAGGGTGATACACAATCAAACGAAATATCTCCTTCCCGACGCGGGAAGAACGGTTTTCCACTCGATTCGTGGCCGTATAAACCACCAAGCCACAATAGCAAATAGAAAATCTACCCACTTTCTTATGTTCTAAACACGGCTACTGCTAGCCACATGCACTAGTATGGAACAGACTCACCGAGAGCAATCCTGGGGATCGGATGCTTTCCAAAAAGGCTCGGCTAAATTGCGCCAAGTAGTTCCAATGGTGCCAGTGAGCGATGACGTCCAACAGCGTCGCCAAGCGAAGCTAGCAAACGTTGATTATGGCAGCGGCGTGATGGCGATGCAGGGTCATTCACCACCATACAAAGGCAACGTACGATGCAAAATGGCCAGGAACAGTTTCCGATCTTCTACTCCAAATAGAGTAACACACGCCTTTGTGCACGCCAAGCGCAAATTAGTTCGTCACACAAAATACACGCACTAACAGTTTCCCGACGGCAGAAAGTGTTTCGAAAGTGTTTTTCACCCGCGATCGAAACACTAGAAGCGATAGCCACTATCGTTCACCCAAATACCGTTACAAGATCGTATGCGCTAATCGAATTATCTCCCACTGCTGCCGAATAGTACCCGACTTGGTATTATCCCCACGCGCGAAGCAAAAGCACGAAATGCACTGATTGATTAAAATAATCTTCTTCTCCACACCACTGAGGATCATCCGGCTTGGTAATACCCCACAGCGCACACGCACTTTGTTCGCACAGAATAGCAAATTTTGCCGAAACGCAATGGCAGCAACATCGATGGCCAGTGCACGTTTGGTAAGCAAAATGGTCACTTTTACACCCCGCGAAAGCTTTCTCGGTATGAATTGCCTTCTATCCGGTTCGAAGGACCAATGTTGACGATAGACGTCTTGCCGCACTAGAAGGACTTTCTTCGCTAGTAGATCACTAGCACCGAGACGAATTCTGCCCAAACCGAATCACTGATCACAAGAAAAATTTGTCATCGACCAACCAGAGAAACAGACGACGTAGGTATTGTTTCCTTCAACGTGTATTTTGTAACTGAACTATTAACATAAATTTGCTCGTCCCTTATCTCCTACTGTGGCAGTGACCATCGGCTATCTATCGGTCGGTATCGTAATACAAAATTCTCTCCCTCTCTCTGCTCGCAATTCAATAACAGTCCGTATAATTTGGAATGGTAATTTAACACTTAACTAATTGGATTGATATTTACAAATATTATTCCTATCTCCAACAATACCATTATTACTCTTTAAATTGCCAAACATTGGAATGGAATCTAGCCTTCTGAATTGGCTCCAATCATACTTAACGCAACGCAATCAAATAGTTTGTTTTCAAAATAAATTTTTAGAACCTAAAAAGTTGTCCTAGCTCGCTTTCTACTCTCTATATGCAATTTTCACACTGCCGTACTCTAAACGGAACTATCATTTGCCGTACACGAGGAACGCATAGAATCCGTAGTAAAAGTAGTAAAATTATGTTTATTTCTGTTGATTATGGCAGTACATTGATTTATCATTTCAATTGATTGGCCTACCTGGCTCTTCATCTTTGTTGAATTTGATATTCTAATTTAATATTTTCGTTTTTCAACTAGTCTACAGAATACCCCTTTGGGGATGTGTTTTATTTGAATTTTAAAAAAGTGATAACCTACCTAACTACGAGTATAACTTAACCTATCGTGCTAGATCACGTATGATCTGATGATTTGATCTCAGACAGGTGTCTCTGAACCTTTCCAGGATGAATACTAGACTGATGCAAAATTCGACTTTTTCGCTCCACAGTGCTTAAATGGTTTCAAATCGGGTCCTGATAAGCCTCCCAAAGTTACAACTCATTTGGTTAGAAACAGACTTCGCACAAGCCATTTGAAGTTTACATGTAAATTACTATGGCAAATCACAACTTTTTGTTCATTGCCTTCTAGTCTTTTTCCATATTGAGCTGCGAAACAAATCCTTAGCCATTATTAAAGAAAATTTTCTCAGCTACCACTTTGCTGAAGATCGTTTCTATGTAAAACGAGACAGGAAAAAGTTATTAATTATTTAAGAGATTGGTAAACTTATTACATGATCAAGCAGCTGCTCTGCAGGCAACACTGTAGTTGGCAGTGTGACATAGTAGCCATGATTTTTGTGTCCTATTCAACGCCTCAGAAACACCAATGTTGCCTGATGAGCAGTTGATTGAGCATGATCATAAGACATCAGCGCATTGAACCATTGATAACTTTCGATCATTGCATTTAATCAAAAAGTTGTCGTGAGCAAACTTGTAGCTGGGAAACTTTTCTACAAGTTCAGTTGAAAGCTTTTGAAGCATACCGTTATGGTGAATTATTAGATAGACATGAACAAAAATGTTGGCTTTACCATAGTAATTCCCATACAAACTTCAAATGGTTTGTGCCATCTTAGTTTCTCACCAAATGGGTTCAAATTTTTAGAGGTTAGTCAAGATCCGATTTGGAATCGTTTAAGTGTTGTGGAGCGAAAATTTCAAATTTTGCATCACTCTAATGAATACTCTCCGTTCTTCTACTGTCTGAATTCCAGCCAGGAGGTGGATCTCAGAATTTCTAGTCCGCGGGGGACTGTTTAGGACCATCCTAAGGATCTTGTTCTGGATCCTTTGGATTTTAAGGTGATGGCATTTTGCGCAACTCTCCCAGATTGGCATCCCGTACTCGATTACAGGAAGGATGATTTGTTTGTAGACAGCAACCTTATTTTTCAGGGATAGGGTTGACTTCCTGTTGATAAGTGGATACAACGATCTTATCAAGATGTTGCACTTGGTTTTCGTTCTGTCAACGGGCTCCCTGAAAAGAAGCTTGCTGTCTAGTGTTAGCCCGAGGTACACGACCACTTTGGACCATTCCACCACTGTGCCGTTTAGGCAAATCTTGTTATTCTCCGACGGAACAAGTCTGGGAGATTTAGAGTGTGGAAGGATAATGACCTGGTTCTTTGCCGCGTTGATACGGATCTTCCAGCTGCTGAAGTATTCAGACAGGACGTCTAGGCCTCTCATGAAGTGTGCCTGTCAGAGCCTACCTTGTAGACGAAGGATGTGTCATCTGCGAACAGAGACAACGATCCACCATCAGGGAGAGCCGGCGTATCGGAGGTGAACAGGTTGAATAGGATGGGGCCAAGGATGCTTTCTTGTGGAACCCCGGCACCGATGTTGAAAGCATCCGATGTGATGCCATTCAAAGAGACTCGGAACGTCCTGTCTGATAGATAGTTGTTTATTATCTTCACTACGAAGATTGGAAGACCGTACTGCTGCAATTTGAACACCAGGCCATCATGCCAGACATTGTCGAACGCTTTTTCAACGTCCGACAACGCCATGGCAGATGTTTTCGAAACAAACTTGTTCCGTCTGAGAATGTTTGTTACTCGAGACAGCTGGTGGACGGCCGAACGACCTTTCCGAAAATCAAACTGTTCCTCAAGTAACAAGTTGTTTTCATCGGCAGATGTTAGATGACTTCCAACGCGAGGGGAAGTAGCCAAGTTCGAGGCACTGATTAAAAATCAGTGCCAGATGGTTGTAGAATCTGGAACTCAAGTGTTTGGATTCCAGATTCAGGATGTTGTCGAAACCTGGGGCCTTCATGTTTTTAGATGATTTGATATAGGCCAACAGTTCGTCAGCCATGATCTCGGATTCCTCTGGAAAAATGTTAGGAATCTGAAGAACATTGGTTGCATTTTCAGCAACCTCAGATTCATGAGGGCTGTTTGAGGCTGACGATGTTTTGTCCGAGATTATGGGAGCTGACGAAGTGATTACCTATCGCGGCAGCCTTCTCTTCAGGAGTTATCAGATGAATCACTGGGTCGCCGGCACGATCCAGTGGGGTCAGTGGTGGAATGGGCCTAGGCTTGTTTTTAAGAATTTTTGTAAGTTTCCAGAAGGGCTTAGCACAATTTGGGAGAGAGCGGATCTTACTAGCAAAATCGTTATTTCTGAAATCCACCATCCTGGCCTGAATGATCTTTGTTAATCGATTGGACTTCAAGTTAGGCAGGCCAGTACGGTGGTACTGCCTACGAATGGTGTTACGGAGTCTAATGAGATCTTTGGTAGGGCTGGCCCGGGAAATCGCCTCCTCGATGGTTTGTAGACACCGGTCAACATCTTCGGACGTCCCCGGTTGGGCATCGTAGTCGATGGTTGTGTCGACGCAGTGTTGATATTGCACCCAGTTGACTCGATGGTAGTTGCGCCGGGATGCTTCGAATCGGTTAACCGAGGATCCAACTTCGGCCACCACCAGGTAGTGGTCCGAGCTCAGCTCCTGGAATACCACAGGTTGCGAGATGTTGTGTCCCATGTTGCTTACGAAGATGAGGATTGAGGATGATGCCGTTTCTATTGCTTCGACCGTTGCCCCAAGCTTGGTGTTTTGCGTTCAGATCGCCAGCGATGATAAAGTTCCCGCTCCTCCGGGTGAGTTTGATGATGTCTTTGCGGAGGGCCACTGATGACCCGTCCCTGATGTTGGTTTGCTTGGGGCAGTAGGCCGCGATGATGGTGATTGGGCCAAGTGATGTGCTCACCTCCACTCCGATGGCTTCAATTGTTTTCAGCTGGAAGTTTGGTAGCAGCCGGCAACTGATGTTCCGT